TAACGCTTTCCAGCCGCGCAAGGCGGCTCTCAGTCTGCTAATTGCCCCCCACCCCCTTCGTGCCTAAACGCGAAGTCAACGCCGGAGCCCATATGAGCTATAGTCTAAACTCCTAGTATCCCCTTTAATAACCCCTATAGTAGTCCCCTTATCCCCTATATAACCCCCTTTTAAGGAGTTTAGACAATAGCTCATATTAAGATTCACAGCCCAGGCCGAAATCCACAGATCCTCAGCAAGCTCGGAGGACGCACGCTGCGTGCAGTTCCCTGGTTCATTGTACCAAGTGTGCGGTGCACATGTTATTGTTTGTTATTGCTGTTGGGCAGGCCTGGTAGGCGTTGAGTGGACATGAGTGGGCCTCATTGGAAGAGCTGGTTTTGAAGATTTCAGTGCTTGGGCTCCAGGGTTGTCCCCTGCTTGTCCCCTGCTTCTCCCTCTACTTGTCCCACTACTTGTCCCCCACTTGTCCCTTACTTATCCCTCTACTTGTCTCTCTACTTGTCAGCTAGTCTCCCTTAAGTAGATAGAGTAGGGGGTATATAGGGATCTTATTATAAGATACCGGAAGCCATATTTTTCTAAATCCTAGGTAATCTTTCTGTACTCAAGGGTTTTGGGTTGCATGGGGGTCTTGGGGGGTTACTTTGGAGTATGGCCCCCCTCGAGGTCCCCATGGCAAAATTGGGACTGGCATTCAAGATATTCAAAAAAAAACATAATCTTGACAGCCTTCCCGGCCCAAGCAGTTGGACAACATGTGGCTACACATTTGAAGGCCGTTTAGATCAACTTTGATTTAGATGCCCTCACCGACTCCTGCGTGAGGCTCTACCACACCTAGACCTTAAGCTCGTCACCCTAAACCCTAAACCTGAGTAGACTCCCTCTCCAAGTCTTCTGAGTACAGATGTGCTATTAATTCCTAATACAGACGCAAACTTTTCACTACAAGGATACTAAGAGCCTTGACATGGAAGACTTTAGGAGTTCAAATCTTGGCTCAGGGCTGTGGGTTTATCTTGAGGTTTGTCTGAGGTACACTTTACCATAGCGATACAAGGAATCTAGGCTTCTACCTTATTTGAGTAGTATTTTATTTGGGGTTACTATGGTGCCCCAGGTCTTTTTTGCGCAGTCTGCATTCCTGTAGGCTCCATGGTCCCCACCTCGTCTGGAACAGCGGATTCTTTGGCCTCAAGGTCTCCTTTATTCTTCTTTTGATCTCGCCTGGGTGGATGTGTTAAAGGCAAGCCAGCATCCCGTAAGCACATCAATATGCCGATTGAACGTGATGTCTGGCTCAGACGCGGCGCCAGCCACTTTACACACGATACACAGCAGTACTGGCAAACCACACCGCAAGCCCAAGATGCTAAAGCTGACGAGCTCTGCGGCGCCGCTGCCACTATCAGTGCAACACCTGCTTGCAAAGAACTGTTTGGTCTAGTCGCTGGGTTGCAGCTCAAGATGCAAGTGCATGAGGTCTATCCTTCAACTGCTAATTGCATGCAATCTCGTGCCAGGAGCCATGCAGTTTGCTGCCGCTGCAGGCATGGCTGAACTAGCATGTCATGTGGCTTGCGGCATGCCTCACCAAATTGTAATGCTGTCCGTGGTGGTGCGTCGGATGAAACGATAGCTGGGGGACAAGTAGAAGGACAAAGACAGGGACGAGAATAAATAAGCAGAAACAGGAATAGTGGAACGATAATGACACTAGCTGGGAATAGGCTATCCAGCAAGTGGCTCTAAGAACATAGATTCTCAAAGCAAATAAAAACATTAGGTGCTGGCGCAGAGGTACTTTGTTTTGGAAAGGAATCACTTCCTTTGGAAGACACATATTTCACAAGCACCATCACTCGAATGCCACGTAAGACTGGGTGGAGTACTTGCGCAGACAAGGGAGTGAGCTTTTAGTGCCTTTTCCGGAGTGGTCGTGCAGGGCTCCATCCATTGGAGCTGCTTCCATCAAAGGGCAGCTACTTCAAAATGCTGCCTTTCCGGTATCACCGAAGACTGGAAGGAGTACTGTGCAGATAAGGGAATGAGCTTGTAATGCCTTTCTCGGAGGTCGTGCGGGACTCTCTCCAGCTGTGAGTGTACTTTCGCGCCTGTGAACATGCATCACATGCCCCTATGCTTTAATTTTACGAGCAAGGTTTTCTCTTGACATGGCCGAAACATGGCTACTTCTTGTTGCCTACCTAGTAGAATCTAATACTAGACTAGCATGTAGCATACGGGCTTTCCTGAGGTAGTCAAGGAAATGATGCTACAAATAGCATGGAGAGCAGTGCTGGCGTTGCCATGGAGTATGTATGTGTATATGGACACGGTAGCGAACGTCATGGTCAGGCTTCATGCCACAACGACGTCATCTTTCGCTGCTTGAGTCCCACGAACCGCATGCCTGCAGCTCAGCTATGCTTGTGCCCTGCTTGTTCAGAAAGTATCGCAAGCTTGCCTACAGTCCTCACATTGCCTTCGCAGCTTTGGCGCGGTAATAGTACACTCGCGTGTTAGTCCTCAAGTTGCGTACGGCATCCATGGCAGCTTCAGACAGCGTCCAGCGCTCATCCCCACGAAATGTGGAAGTGCTGGCAGCTGCTGATGGACTTCAACATTGTCGCCTTGGTCTCCATCGCCTGGTTCTGAAGCAAGCCGTCCTCTTGCAGAAATTCCCCGCCTTGCATCAGCTACTACCCGCTTTCGAGGATACCACATTCAGCAAGTGAGCGTGGGAAGCCCACCTATTCCTCGTGCGTGCCACTCTTCGCTATGTGGATGATTGTGATCGGCCCGCAGCCCACAATTTCATGCTGCGTCGCATGATTGCTTGTTACAGCAGCGCGAAGCACTACCTGATCCAGCGGAAGATGAGGTGTCCGGACAATGAGTGGGCAGAGGCCTTCATCGCCGCTGTAGACCTTACCCTGCAGACTGCTGGGGTTGCATGATAGCCTGTTTCTGGAAGCTAGACTTATGAGGTGCGCAAAGTGCCGGCATGCCTTGGTGTGCAGCGTAGCAGTCAAGCGATACGCGCTCGTTCCAGTAAAAGGTCTCTGTGCTACATGCCATCTTGCCATACTCTTTGGCCGCGTGCTCGGAGTCTTAAGCTTGTCTAATTCTGCTCTTCCGTAGGATCCTGCAACAGTCGTTCGCTTGCAGCTACTTCGGCTCTCAGTTTTGATTCGAGATCTCCCCTGTACGCAACGATAGCTGGTTCATCATGTCCGCTTCCCCTGAGCGAGATGATCGGGAGACGTGTTTGGAGCAGATTATGGACGAGGAGCTTCGTGCAGAGTCGGATGCAGTTGGGGAGCATACGGACGCCAGCACTCCTCCGGCCTCATCTCCTGAACAACCACCTCCACCAGCCACCAGCCAAACGTCTTCCTGGTCGAAATTTTGTTTCGTACTCAATTGCATCGACGTGTCGCGTGCTCTAAAAGTAGTCATTTGCTCTTCTTCCAGCAATTCAAGTTTAAAGCCTTCTCCGCCGCCTGCGGAAGGGATTTCGATCGATGCGTCTGACAACGACAACATGAAGAATAAGATTGACGACTGCCTCATCTGGTGCCGTGCCACCTACTACATGTATGATGGCAATACCCAGAAGCTCATCAACATGGTTCGGTTCATCTGCGAGGCGCAGTTGGCCAACTACGTTCTATCGAACAAGCAGAAGCTGGCCATTGCTATGTTATGGAGCCCGAGACCTGGCGAGGTGATGAGAAACCAATCTTTCACTATGAGGATGGAGCGTGGTGCGTGCTGGAGGGGCTCCGTGTACGCGCATGGAACATCCTCTAGCTCTCGAAGGACCCTTCGTGCAGATATCGAATGATGCCGCCGCGGCAGAGGAGACCTTGGAGTGGAAATGGTCACAAGTGGAGCCGCGCGTGGCTGCAGTCCTCCGCAATCGCCCTCACGGTGTTCCGCTCATCAAGCATCTGGAGGACATTGCCAAGTCGAGTAAAGAACATCTTCGCTTCACAATTGCGAACAAAGTCTGGACTGCGAAATGGACTTGTGGTGTGGTTGAGATGATAGCCACACATCGCAAGCAGTTGGATGATGACTGCAGCACCATTTCGGCCTTGTCCAAGCTCTTTCTGCAGAAGTGGGATTCCCCAATGCCGCGTTCCTGTGGAGTATACTTCAGCGAAGTCTACCTCAATCCAGAGTGGGAAGAGACTCCTCAGAGGCCTTCCAACAGTTGTTATCTACGTATCGGGTATCCATACTTCTATGAGAAAAGCCTGCATCGTCCCCCTAGCATTTCCGTCTTGGCGGTGAGTATTTGAATCTATAACAAAAGATAACCCTGTAGCTGTTTCCTATTATACAAAGTGATACGGCCTGCGCTATAGCAAAAACCAACCAAAAAGCTGGAAAATACACACCGCCACGGCATCATACTCTCTTGTTTTATATGGTACAATGCCTTGGGTTGAGGGTAGAGGGGGTATGTGTGTAGAGCCTTTAAGTTCTATGTGAGGTATGAGCTTTCTGAGAGGTAGAGAATTTGGGGTGTAGGGTTTTGGGTATAGGTTCAGGCCATACGTGCGAGTTTACGTAACTTAGGCGGTCCTCTCGTGGGGTCAGGGTTGATTGTTAGGGGGAGTCCAGGACTTGAGCGTCAGAGTCTTGAGATTATTCGCGGCTATGCGTATTCTGGCCAGCATGATCTACCCCCCAAGGTTCCCTTTGAATTAACCTTGAGCAAGTCCAAGTATCCCTAAATAAACTTCATCAAGTTGGAGCCTAGGGGGTAGTGTAGCGAGGGGTAGTAGCAAAACCCATGACATGATGATGATTGCACGCATCGGGCGTTATTTGATTCAAGTTGCTTGCTATCCCAAAACCTTTGCAGTGCCTTTGCGTTCTGCTGAGGACATGATCGACAGTAACTAGTTTGCAGGCGTGCTCAAGCGAGACAGGGGCAGTGGATCGAATCGCGAGAACCTAACCACAGTTCCGTGTGCTGGCAGGTTTGACGCGAGTGATGGACCTGTTCATGTGTGGCAGCGCCCCATTGACCTCCGAGATATGTACGGCGGTGACGATATCGCAGCTGGACCAAGACTTGTGCGGGTAGAGATCAAAGCCATCAAATTCCATTTTTTGTTGCGTAGTGCTCTTGCAGCAGGGGATCGAAATTGATATTATCACCACTACCTTTTTCTCTCAGAAGACCCGCATACCTGCCCGCCTTACCGGACAATGTTCTCACCAGGGTTCCATGTTGGGGCTTGTGAGGGTGGCAGGTGGGCAGCTAGGTCAGGGCATGTGGTACTTGTCTAGAATCCCAAGGATGTTTTGGGGAGTGATATTGGGATTATATATGGATAAGTATGGGCCTCTCTAGGGTATTCAGCTTTTGGATGGTGCTAGCTCAAAATTCCTATCCCCAACATCGCCATGAGGTTGATTCTCGATTCTGTCAGGATTACCCTTGGAGGAAGTGTATTCCCAATGGGCTCTTCTGTACAGTGGCATTTTGAAAAACCCTAAGCCCAAACCCCATGTCCCAATATGGCCCTACATAATCCCAATACATACCTATACAACCCCTAGAAACTGCCTCAAAAGACCATGTGCGGAAATGTATGGGCCTGCTGTGTGCCTTTGATTTTGCAACACAGACACTTTTTTTTTTTAATGGCTACTTCACTGCAACGGAAAAGAAGTTATGATGATCAAGCACGATACATTGCTGGAGAATCGAAAATTGTGGTTTTAGTGGATTTTGGTTACCCAGCTCCAAAACGAGGACTTTATGATTATCATATGCCTCGTATCGGGTCCGTGTGATTGCGTTGAACTTGCAAACGCAGTGAGGTGGTGCTTTACCACTACACCAACGCGACCGTCTTCGAGCGCCTCAGTTTTCAGATGATTTCAACTTGAGAGGGTTTGGAGGGTTTTGGATGGGGTTCTAGACCGAGTTATCTGCAGACCCTAAACCCTGAAACCTTAAGTCCCTGCCTGTACTTGCCCCCAAGCGCGAAAATTCGGGGGGTTATGTATGGGGGTTATTATGGAGTTTATTAAGGGGGATGCTGGAAGTTTAGATTTTAGTACATACAATCACGCCACACAAAAAGTATATATTCATTACAATGGCCTGCACCAATGCATCAAGCCCTGAAGATCTGGATCTGCAACCATAAGCCCTATCCTAAGCCCAGAATCCTCCCAAATCTTAAGCCCCCCCCAATCCTAAACCTGAAGTAAGGAACTTGGCTGCTGAAGTCTCTGCAGCTGCGCGTTTAGAGTTGCCAGGAGGGAATTTGCAAATTTCTTATTTGTTTAATAGAGGAACTCCTTTACATTTAATTTCGGGGCCTTGAAAGCTAGGAAGAGAGAACGAATTTTAAAGCAAAGACAACACTCTTCTATAAACCCTGAATCCATGATCCGAAGCCTTAAATCCTCAACCCACCCCGACGAGTGGCGCACGGTTTGTGGTTGGCTCGGATAGTAAGTGGATTTAAATTACCCCAACGAAAAAAATAAAAACCCTATAACGATCATATGACAACAATCAGTTTCGAGGAGTTGGGGTACCTGAACTCCCCCTCCTACCTACTATGAATCCTATTAATTAAACTCCAGCTTCCATCTCATTTTGGATTTTTCCTTACCCTAATATGCTAAACGTTAGACCCTAAGCCTGATGCAGACATGACCCTACTTAAAGGTCATGGGACGTAGTAACAAGAGTTATACTTATAAGTACTTATAACCCCAGTTACGGTACTTATAACTATACCTAGTAAGTCCCATGAACCTCCGAGTAGACCATGCAGTTTAGGATTTAGGCTTTATGGTTGTTGGTTTGGAAGGTAAGGTGCAGGCCTGGAATTGGAAGCATTGGAGAGATAAGCAGGACATGAATATCCAAACTGGAGGGTTAGGGATTAGGGTTAAAGTTTAGGGATTTAGGGATTTCGAAATTCTGGGTTTAAGCTTTAGGTTGTGTTGTTCAGCATTAGATCTGCGAAGCAAGCCCTTTTCCCTTGAAAACCCCTGATTAGACCGTCAATCCTGAACCCTTAGACCAAAAACCTGAAAACCTTAAATCCCAAGCCCTAAACCCTGTACCCTAGCATCCCTAGCCCCTAAACCTAAACCCTAAACCCTAAACCCTAAACCCTAAACCCTAAAACCCTAAACCCTAAACCCTAAAACCCTGAACCCACGCAGCCCAGGCTGCTTGTGGACCCCCACTCTGATCGCGGCCCGGGCGTCTTGGCCTCACAGCACGAGCCTTCAGTGCGCAGGCAGAATTCAGCACGTTTAGGGTTTAGGGTTTAAGGTTTAAGGTTTAGGGTTTAGGGTGTCTCAATGAGGGGGTGCGCTGGTGCTGGAAGCACCCGGGCGCGCACCCCGATGTGCACGAGCCCACCCCCGCTGGCGCTCCACCCTGGCCTCGACCTTTACGGGTTTAGGGTTCTCTCGAACTCTGATCGCGCTCCTGTCCTCTTAATTGTTCTTTGCACCTGTCACGCTTGCTGGAAGCTGGACCT